ATGCGCCGTCCTTGGCCGTGTTCAAGTTCAGGTTGGACAGAGCCTTGAGTGACAGGGTCTAGTGTGAGGTGCCCCTGCCCATGGCAGGGGGTTAGAACTGGATGAGCTTTAAGGTCCCTTCCAACACAAACCAGGCTGGGGTTCTATGGTAACAGCAGCACTGTGCCCAGGGAGTGTCAAAGAACAAGGGGCCTCGAGGATGCAACCCAGGTCCAGGATCCAACCCAAATCCTGAACTGGGATGGAATGAGTGGGTGATAGGTTTAGAGATCCTGCAGGAGGCAGGTTTGAGGTGGCCCATGCTCCACACAAGGAGGAGATGGGGACAGACCCGAGCAAAGAGGATCTTCCAGGTAGGAGCTTTCTCCTCTCTGAGGATGAAGAGTGTGGGTGCAGATCAAGATGAGCATCAGGAAACACGGCCTGACAGCACTGCAGAGAGGGCTGCGGGTCCGGGACATCTCCTGGGGCTTCGCGGAGCTGGGGTGACACTGCTGACAACCTTCGGGCAGAACCCAACCCCACTCAGTGTCAGAGCAGGGCCGCCAGCCCCATCTGTAACCCCGACATGAATGAACTCGCTGCAGCGGGAGGACGGTGCCACAGGATGGCGACAATGCCACCCGCACCGGGTGCCGGAGCATGGATGTCAAAAGGACGTTTCCAGGGGTACTCGCAGCCCCAGCCTCAGCGGAGGCAGAGCCCATCCTCCCGGGAACGGGGGCCAGGACCGGCCTATCGGCCGCCAGCCCCATCTGTAACCCCGACATGAATGAACTCGCTGCAGCGGGAGGACGGTGCCACAGGATGGCGACAATGCCACCCGCACCGGGTGCCGGAGCATGGATGTCAAAAGGACGTTTCCAGGGGTACTCGCAGCCCCAGCCTCAGCGGAGGCAGAGCCCATCCTCCCGGGAACGGGGGCCAGGACCGGCCTATCCTGAGGATGCTGCGAGGGCTGGAGCAGCTCTGCTCTGGAGCCAGGCTGAGAGAGCTGGGCTGGGTCAGTGGGAGAAGAGAAGGCTCCTGAAGGGGACACCTTAGAGCAGCTCCAGTGCATAAAGGGGCTCCAGGAAACCTGGAGAGGGGCTTTGGACAAGGGATGTAGGGACAGGACAAGGGGAATGGCTTTAACCTGCCAGGGGGGAGATTGAGATGAGCTCTGAGGCAGAA